TCTCATTTCCGTAAAAATATGGGGTTGGTGAGAACTATCATTTGACTGTTTTCAATTCCAATTATCTCATGTCTTTTTGCACTCTGTATAATGATATCTGCCGCTGATCGTCAAGTAAAATAATGTAGTTCATAAAAGCATCTTCATTACACGCGGTTGTTTGCCTTAAACTCCCATAATGCAGATGGCCGAAATTATTTTTTCTCATTTTCTACAAAAACTAATATCGAAATTTAAATTTAACTGACCTCCGATATCACCAAGGTTTGTGTATAATATAAGCCGTTTGTTATATGCTAGCCGACCGTTTATTATATATTGCAACAGATTAGTGCGGCTTTTACTGAATTCGCTTTTCATAACACACTTGAAAAATTTTCTGACACAAATTTTTTATATAAACTTTAAATTTTCTCATTGAAGCACATTTGAATTTTAAAATGTTTAGACAATATGAAAAAAAAATTCAAATTGAGAAAATTGTTTTGCGTATCCTGTACCCGATACTAAAAAAAAATATAAAAAATTTCCTTTTTTACTCATTTTTTTCATTTTTTTTTTTATTTTCGTATAAACTGTTACAGAGTAAACATAAATTGCCACAATTCAAGGATCAATATTATTGCAATATATGACGATATGAGGACCATAAACGAGGCTATTTTTCGTAAATCGTTTTTCACTCCACACTTACATTACATATATTTAGCAAAGAAGGAGAAAACAAGAAGAGTTAGAGGTGAATAAAAGAGGCGTAAAGAGAAAAGAAAATAAAAAAAAAAGAATGCTCAAAATTGACAAAAAAGAAACGAAAATTAACGCACTTATTGGATTGTATGGACCGTGAAATCGGATAATATGAAATCGTGTCTACGTTACATAAATATTTTTATTGTTTATTTTTTTTTTCTTTTTTGTTTTTTACCTCCCTAGCGTATTTTCAAAGAATAATGTGTATGTACAAAAAAATAGATTCACAATTCCAGTTTAATGTTTATAACACACTTTGTACAGTCACAAAATTGTAAAACAAATAATTGGAATGAAAGAGGCATTTCACTGTGACCATAAACGAAATTTTATGCATCTTTACAGCCTTTAGAGTAAAACGCCAATTACTCTTCAATAACAAATTCCAAAAAGTCAGTGTTTGGTTTGTTTTGTGAATATGATGGGGTAATATTAAATACTGGTTCATTTTTGAAATGATGCTAGAAAGAATTTAACAGTTAATGGAAATCACTAAAGGCCAAAGATAATTAAATTTAAATTTTTTTTCAATTGAGCACTTTAGAACTTGTTTTATAATGAAATTCGCGTTAGTAATTTTGAAGGTTTGTAGTGTTACATCAAGATAATGCAGAGAACATTACAGTTACTTTAATGAAAGGACCATTCGACGAGGGATGAAATAACTTCGGATGAATACAAAAGGCTATACATCAAATGATTTCACTGTCCTTTCGATTTAAATTTTTTATTAAAGTGTTTTAGTTCACTGATTTGTGCCAAAAAATACGATTTAATTGAGATCTCAAGGAGCAATACTAAGGAAATTAATATATAGTATCAAAATAAGAAGTGATACATAATTATATTGCTGATAATAACGCAGTGAATAGAAGTGGCAACTCTATATCAGACTATACCTTAGAAATATGTACACTTAAAATGAAACCAAAGTAATGTCATATATGATCGGAGAGCACACACGAATCCTACAGTTCGTTTCGAGAGTTAATTATTTTAATATTTCCACTTGTTTATTATATTTTTTGTTTGATTGTATTATGTGCACATATTGGAGAATTATCAAAAAAAAAAATTAAAAACTTTTAAAAACAGAACGAAAGAGAAGAATAGAAAATTTGACGAAGCGTTTCAAAATGATTGTTCCCTAAGGAAATTTGGTTAAAATGTAAAAAAATAAAATAAAAGTAAAAGAAAGAAAAAAAATTACGATTTGAAAGCTATTTGTAAAAAAAAAAAAAATTAGGAAAAAAAAATTCCCGCCCTGTACGGCTGTACGAGTACTTATAAAAATTTTTTTCTCTCTGTGTTTTGCGGTTTTTATTATTTTGCTTTTTGATATTTTTTTTCTTTTCTCTATTTGCTATGCAAATAAAGTGTTTCTTTGGTAATAAATTTGTCTGAATTAACTTTCAAATTTGAAGATCAAAAGATTAAAAAAATTGATTGGATTAAAAAAAAGTTAAAAAGGAAATTCAATTCGATGTTTTTTTATAATTAAAGCGTTGCTCTATTTTTATTATATGGAAAAAATACCTAAATACTTATTTATAGAAAATTTTAAAATTATTCAAATATTTTTTGAAAATTTTTTCCGTGTATGAAAATAAAAAATAAATAAAATTTCTATTCTTTCAAATTCCACATTTTCTTGAACGAAAAATTTCCAATGTTTTATTTGCGAACACTAAGATTTTTTTTGTTAAATTTTTCAAAACTGAGCGAATCCTTTTTATAAGTATCTAAAAACTGGTTAATTTTAGCAGCCATTTTTGATTTTAGAAGTCACCCACAACATTTTTGGGTTTGCAAAATTTGAAAAAAATATTTATGGTTTCTTTAAACTAAATAGTTACAAAATCGTTTTTTTGGGTCGTTGAAGGGCAATAAATTTTAGAGGGGGCGATACAAGTCAAAAACTTCTACTACGGAAACTAGTTTCTAGCAAAGATCTATTTAATATGAAATTTCAGTTTTCTTTCTTCAAGGGCGTAGAGTAGAAGTTTTGCTAATGGTGCACGGACGAACGAACTGATGGACAAAGTGAAACTAATAAGCATTTCGTATCAATATTTTTTTGGAAAAGTGCTGAAAATAAAATGAATTTGTAGCTATTCTAAGCATTGTTCCATTTTTTTTTCTTAATTCTCTCATTTTATTACCTTCGATTCGACCAAAGACGGATATACAAATTTTAGTTGTTGTTGTTCGTCATTATCGTAATTTTTCTAAAAATTTTAAAATCTTTAAATTTTAATCAATACGAATTTTATTATTTCCTCATATTTTACTAAAATTCCTCATTATATGCAAATATTTTCGTATGTACAAAATAAAATAATTTAGTAAAAAAAAACTTGAATTTCAACAACTACAATATTATAAGTATTTAAAAAATCGTTTTATCCTTTTTAAAGGAATTTCAAGTTATAAGAAAATTTTAAATCCTATAACCTTCTTAGAAGACTTATTGAAAACTATATACACAGGATGTGTAAAACTTTTTTTATTTTTCAACTTTTACTCACTTAAAATGATATTTCGCAAAAGGATTAGGAAAACTTTAATCCTTTGTTTTTAAGTTAAAGTTTGTAATAAAAATCCTAGAAGTCTTAAATTTTTTTTCCGTAAAAAAACGAAAATTTGTAACATTTTTTCTTATTTCGTTTACAATACCTTTTTACACTTACATTATACCAAGGACACATTTTATTCACCATTTCAAATTTTGTAGCTGAATTAAGTCAAGTTGACATCGCATTTGAATTTCGAGAGAAGTTTGAATAGGTTTGACTGCTCATCATTGTAATTTGAGTTTAGATAAAATAATTTTTTTAATTTTATAAAGATTTTAAGTGAAAGTTCTTAAATTGAACTGGTTATATCTGATTCTTCCCAATATACTTTATAATATTTAAACTCTCAAACCTATATACCATATTGGACTTCAATAATTAATACTTACGTTAACAGCGCAATAGAATTTTTAAAATTTGTCATGACTTATTCTTTTGAACCAGGCTTATTTTCTTGTGTTATACATTTAATCTTATATTTGATGATACGAAGAATATAATAGTGTATAAAAAAAAAGAGCATCTGGTTTTTAAATTTTAATTTTATTTTATAATTGGTTCTTTAAATTTAGCGCTTTTCTTTACCTAATTTATTCCTGTCCTATTGGAAATCCTACTAAACGTAATCAATATTTTCTTTAAGTACATTTATGAAAAATAACGTAAGCTATAAGTTACTCCTACAAAAAAAAAATTAAAAGTTCACTTAAAGTTTCTTTATTCAAGTTCAAGACAGTTAAAGTTGTTTTAACTTTTATACTTACATTATAAATATCGCACACGTAACCAAATAATATGTATTAACCCTTTCACAATTACACCCCTCCTCCTCTATATTTTTAAAATTCAAAAAAAAAATATTATGGAAATTTTTATTCCGACTAAGGTTTTTCTTTCTTTTCAAAATAGCGTACAAAATTTTTATTACTTTCATGTCAATTTTAATTCAGTCACCAACATATGCGAATTTTTAATAGACTTCTCATTGTATAGTGTGGCGATGATCGATTTCAAAATTTATTAAAAAATTTTACTTTTTGAATTTTTGCAAATACGGAAAATAAAAAAAAATTGAAAACCATAAAAAATCAGAAAAAGTTAAATAAAATTTGTTTTCTCGAAAGCCATAGAATTTCTAACCAAAATTAAGAAACATTTCTGATCAAAAAATTTCATTGCATCTATAATGAAACGTACACAACTTTAAAACAACAACTTTCCATAAAGAACACGTTCGGTCATAAGGCGAAAAATGCCATATTTCCACCACTCCCTAAAGTATATCATCTCTTCGTTCAGTTCGTTAGATTATATGATACCGTACATTTTTTGAACCGTATACACCTACAATTTCAACAATAAGAAAAAACTTCTGCTAATTAATAAAAAATTCTGAATTCTTTTTATATAAAATGAAAAGGTTTGAGTCAACGATTAAAAAATTCAATTATGTATATGTTGAGCTAGTCTATATAATTTCTCACTATATGGCAGCACTTAAAAACACTTAATCTAATTCATTTATAACAGAATTATCAACAGATGGCAGGCTAATAAGCATTAAAATATCTTGAAATCTGTTATACAAAATATTTATTTTAATGTTTATTGGGAAATTTCAAAAACATATGATTTATTTTCAACACAGTATTATTTTTACTATATAAGATTGTCAAAATTTGTTTATAAATTTTTCGGCAAAAATTTTGAAAATTTGTAAAAACATTTATTTTAAAAAATTTTTTAATTAGAATTTAAGAAAAAGTTTTAAAATGCCGAAAGAACAGTTTCGTGAAGCAGATGTTATCAAAAAAATGTAAAAGTCATGTATAGTTCATAAAATTTTTCAATTATAATTTTTAATTTTAGTTCACATGTTCAGTTTTGTATTGATAGCCCACAACAAATTCAACAGGAGTCTGTTTTACGAATTGTTTCGAAAAATCTTTATGGACCAAACCGTGAACCAATACCATATGGTGTTCTAGATAGGCGTATGGTAAAATTATATTTTTAAACAAGAATACAAAATTTTTTATTATTTCTAACCTTAAAAAAAATTTTTATTGTTTAGGGAATAAGTATGAAAGATGCATTATGTGAAACATGTAATCAAGGATTAAATGAATGTGTTGGACATTTTGGTTATTTAGATTTAGCTTTACCAGTATTTCATGTTGGTCATTTCCGTGCTACTATTTCAATTTTACAAATGATATGTAAAACATGTTCCCATATTATGCTAAAGGATACAGATAAAGTTATTTTTGCTAAAAGATTATTAAATCCAGATTTATCATATTTAGCTAAAAAGAATATACACTCTCAAATATTAACGAAAGCGAAGAAAAATAATAAATGTTTGCATTGTGGGGCAATCAATGGAGGTGTTAAAAAAGGTCCCGGTCTTATGAAGATACTACATGATCCATATAAAGGGAAAAAAGCAACCGATCCAATAATGACTCAAGCTCTTGATGAGTTAGTTGAAGCTACACAATCAAATCGCGAATTAAATCAAATTCTTAATCAAAATTCATTAGTCGAAGAACTTAATCCTCTGACGGTTTATGAACTCTTTAAAAACATTCCAAAATGTGATGTACCTATACTTGGTATGACTTCAGAAGATGCAGATCCTTTAAATTTAATCGTTACAAGAGTATTTGTGCCACCAGTTTGTATAAGACCTTCAGTTGTATCAGATGTGAAAGCTGGAACGTAAGTTTTTTTTTTAAAACAAATAGCTGTTTTTATTATATAAATTAATACAAACAAATTTCGATGTTTCAGAACTGAAGATGATCTTACAATGAAACAAAGTGAAATTTTACTTATAAATGATGTTATTCTAAAACACATGAATAGTGGAGGAAAAATTGAATTAATACAAGAAGATTGGGATTTTTTACAATTACATGTTGCTTTATATTTTAATAGTGAGATATCTGGAATACCACTTAGTATGGTACCTAAAAAATCTACTAGGGGTATTGTTCAAAGACTCAAAGGAAAACAAGGGCGATTTAGAGGAAATCTTTCTGGGAAACGTGTAGATTTTTCTGCTCGTACTGTAATTTCTCCGGATCCCAATTTAATGATACACCAAGTCGGAGTTCCAGATCGTGTTGCAAAAATATTAACGTATCCTGAAAAAGTAAATCCAGCAAATATTCAAAGAATGAAACAATTGGTCCGCAATGGAACTAATGTACACCCGGGAGCAAATTATGTTCAACAACGTGGTAGTACTTTTAAAAAGTATTTAGCATATGGTAATCGAGATAAAGTTGCACACGATTTGAAATGCGGTGATATTGTTGAAAGGCACATGACAGATGGGGATATAGTATTATTTAATCGTCAACCAAGTTTACATAAACTTAGTATTATGTCACATCAAGTCAAGGTACAACCACAACGAACCTTCCGATTTAATGAATGTGCATGTACACCATACAACGCCGATTTTGATGGTGATGAAATGAATTTACATTTACCACAGACTGAAGAAGCTCGGGCGGAAGCTTTGATTCTTATGGGTAATAAATCAAATTTAGTGACACCAAAAAACGGTGAAATATTAATTGCTGCAACACAAGATTTTATAACTGGTGGTTATTTGTTAACACAAAAAGATGAATTTTTAACAAAAGAACAAGCAATGCAATTAGCTGCTTGTATGTTGGCAGGACCAGATTCAAATATGGATATTGATTTACCACCACCCGCTATAATAAAACCAAGACGTTTTTGGACTGGAAAACAAATATTCAGTTTAATATTAAAACCAAATAAAAAATGTACAGTTCTTGCTAATTTATCAACTAAAGGGCGAAATTACACAAAGAATACAGATATGTGTGTTAAGGATTCATGTAATTTAAATAAGCTTGATTTTATCTATCATTATTTTATTCAATATTTTATTATTTAAATAAATTTGTTTTTAGGGGTTGTTATAAGAAATTCAGAACTTTTGTGTGGTTCTATGGATAAAGCAACATTGGGATCTGGAACGAAAAATTGTATATTTTATGTTATTTTAAGAGATTTTGGTGAAATGCATGCAACAAAAGCGATGTGGCGATTAGCGCGGGTAATTTGTATTAATATTAAACCAAAAGAAAAAAAATTTGAGATAAGAATTTCATTTACTATATTCATTTAATTTTATCCAATTAATAGTACTTAGTGTAGGTTGTGCACTTGAAGATTTTTAATCTTCTGCCTTTGATCTGTTTATATTTTAAAAAATATACTACGATTTATCGATTACAGATTATAATTTTTTGTAATTCAAAATTCAATTTCATAATTTTATTTAATTTATTTATTTTTATTGTTAAATTTCAATAATTTTCGGCTTTATCTTATCTGGGATATTTTTATACCTCTTATCACAAATCTTAAAATAATTTTGATTTGTTTTTAATTTTGAAAAAAAAAAAAAAACAAAAAAAAAATGAATCATTAATCCATTAAATAATATCACTACTTTTCTTTATATTTGTTTTTTTATTACACTTTCAATGAAATTAATAAAAGAACTAACACGTATATATCCAGCTGGTATTTTCTCTGTACATCTTTCGTCAGCAACAAATGAATTAATTCCAATTTGTATTGGATTTGATCCATCATCAATTACTAAAGCCCCACCAGAATCACCACTACATATACTTTCATCCGACAAATTTGATCCTAATGTACATATGGTATCGTCTGTTACATAATCTTCCCCATAGAATTCTATACAATTGTCTCTTGTTATAACATTAACTTTTGCATAAAGGAGATTATCGGAATGTATTAAATCTTCATCACTCATATAACCCCAACCGGATATAGTACAAAGTTGTCCAGTAAATTGATCAGGATTTTTATTTAATGTTATCGGTTTTATAAAATTGTTAAATGTCAATTTCTGTGGCAATTTAATTAACGATATATCGTAATTTAAATTTGATGGATTATATTGTGGATGTTCTGTAAATTGATTACTTTTCATGCTTATACCAGGCTCTTTTACATGAATTATTCCGAAAACTAATTCTAATGACTTTTCGCCTTTTGTACAATGAGCTGCAGTTAAAACCCATTCATCAGCAATAATTGATCCACCACACCAAACTAGGCCAACTTTTTTAATCAGGACTTGCCATGGAAGTTGTCCTTTAGTTGCATGTTTGCCAGATATAATACGGGGCTCTATTTTGAAACACTTAAAATAAAATCCAAAAAAAAAATATTTAATCACACCGATTGTATATACAAAATAAGCTTAAGTAAATATTTACATTTGCGACAAGTGTTATCACAAATAATATACTCAAAGTTTCAACGATTTTCATTTTTTTTTCTATGTTCGAATTTGTGTTCGTTTAGTCCAGCAAAATTTTGAAGACTAAAAACAAAATTTTAAAATTGTATCTTTAAGTATCGTACTGTTACTGATACTGTTATTATTTTTTTTGTTTTAGAAAAGATAAAACATATCTTAATTTTTAATACAATCAAACTTACTCGACGTCTAGGAGCTAGTTATAGATAATCTTGCATAGTATTAAGATAACATGTAAAAGTATAAGCGTTAGGTAAAATTTAAATTACTATTAAGTTTACTATTCAAGCATACTAAATTGCTGTGTGCTTTTAATTGATTAGAGGTTTATTGTTGTAAAATTTATGGAATATGCCGATATCTGATCAAAAGGGTTATTAAAAAAGTACTTATAATTTTTTTTTATTAATGAATGAATGTTAAATCTTTTCAAATCTGTACTCTATTGAGCTCTTTCACTACTTTAAACATACTAAAAATGGATTATATTTAATCTAGAATATAAATTAAATTAATGATTTTATAAATAATATAAAAAATACAATGTTCTTAGATGGCATCTTATTTTATGATGAATCGAGGTTTCTCATTTGGAATTAGTGATGTCACACCTAGTCAGAAATTACTTTCAGAAAAACAAAAACTTTTAGAAAGAGGTTATAGAAAATGTGATGATTATATTATGGAAATGAAAAAAGGAATTTTACAATGTCAGCCCGGTTGCACACCGGAACAGACATTGGAAGCTGTAATGTTAAAAGAATTGTCAACCATTCGTGAACAGGCCGCTCAAATTTGTTTCCGCGAATTACACCCAACAAATAGTGCTTTAATAATGGCGTTGTCTGGATCAAAAGGTTCAAATATTAATATTTCGCAAATGATTGCTTGTGTTGGTCAGCAAGCTATTAACGGCAAACGTGTACCAAACGGTTTTGAAGATAGAGCTCTACCCCATTTTGAGAAATTTTGTAAGTTAACTGCACGTTTGGGATACTGTAACGTATAAATATTATTTCAATTTTTAATTAAAGCAAAAATACCTGCTGCCAGAGGTTTTGTACAAAACAGTTTCTATTCTGGTTTAACACCTCCTGAATTTTTCTTTCATACAATGGCAGGACGTGAAGGTTTAGTTGATACAGCTGTAAAAACTGCAGAAACGGGTTATTTACAGAGACGTTTAGTAAAGGTACATATATATTTTTATTGAATTTTTGTTAAAACTTCCAAATATAACAAAATTTACTTCCTACAGTGTTTGGAAGATCTAGTAGTGCATTATGATGGTTCAGTAAGAAATGCGATTGGAGAGATTGTTGAATTAACTTATGGTGGAGATGGTTTAGATCCAGCTTTCATGGAAGTAAAAAATAAACCTGTAGACTTAGTGCGCCAGTTTAATCATATAAGAGCTATAAAACCGTTGAGGAACGAGGTACCCTTACCTGGTAACGAAATTAAATTAATCGCGGAGAAAATATTACAAGAAGAAGAATTTTATAATTGCCGAAATGATTTTCGGAACGAATGTTTACAGTTCTTGGAAAAAACTGGAAAAAGAATTAGTGATATTCAAGGTCGATACAAGTGTCATAAAAATTTAGTTAATGAAATTGAGCGATGTACGGAAGGTCAAATTAGAGAATTTTGTCGTATAGTTAATGATAAATACAACAGAAGTGTAGCCGAACCAGGAACAGCTGTCGGTGCTTTGGCAGCGCAGAGTATTGGTGAACCAGGAACCCAAATGACATTGAAAACTTTCCATTTTGCTGGTGTAGCTTCTATGAATATTACACAGGTAAAATATTTTTAATTGAAATTGAAAAAATGGATCAATCAAAAACATACATTTCTTTAGGGTGTACCTCGTATTGTTGAAATTATTAATGCTACTAAAACAATTTCTACTCCCATTATAACAGCAGAAATTGAAAATAACACTAATATGGAGTTTGCTAGAAAAGTTAAGGCTCGCATAGAAAAAACGACTTTATCAGAAATCGCTTCATATATTGAAGAAGTTTATAAACCAGATGACGCATTTTTATTAATTAAATTAGATTTAGATAGAATTAGAGTATTAGGACTAGAAATTAATGCGGATTCAATTCGTTATTCGTAAGCAACTTTTATTTAATACTAAATAAATCAGAAAATTATTATATTTTTTTTATTTCAATAGGATATGTGTATCTAAGTTGAGAATAAAACCAGCAAATGTAATAACATATGGTGAATCAATAATTATCGTACGACCCGATTTAGTAAAGCACGGTAATGCTCTAAATGCGGAACTACAACGTTTGGTTATTGCGATACAAAGTGTTGTTGTTGCTGGTCTTCAAAATGTTTCGAGAGCAGTAATTGCTGTGGATGATTCTATAAAACCACCAAAGTATAAATTGTGTGTTGAAGGTTCTGGTTTAAGAGATGTTATGGCTACATTTGGTGTAATAGGTACAAGAACTCGTAGTAATAACATTTGGGAAGTTTATAATACATTAGGTATCGAAGCAGCCCGTACCACAATTATGAATGAAATAACAGATGTTATGGAAGGCCATGGTATGAGTGTTGATCATCGTCATATTATGCTATTAGCTAGTCAAATGACTGCCCGTGGTGACGTTCTAGGTATAACAAGACATGGTTTAGCAAAAATGAGAGAAAGTGTATTTAATTTAGCTTCGGTTAGTTAATTAAATTTAAAAAATATACACTCATATATTTATAAATAAGGATTAATTTTTTCTTTGCTTATTAGTTTGAGAAAACAGCTGACCATTTATTTGATGCTGCTTATTATGGTCAAACAGATTCAATTGATGGTGTTTCAGAACGTATTATATTAGGAATGCCAGCTTCTATTGGCACTGGATTATTCAAATTAATACACAATCACAACAATGAGCCGTTAGAGCCACCCGTGGAACCATTACTTTCTAGTTACAACATAGATGATTGATAAATAAATTATTTTTTTAATGAAGAAATTTGACAAATTTTTATAGCTCTTTTTTTGTTTTGATACTGAATTGCAAATAAAAAAAAAGAATTTAATAAGTTGAATGAGTTTATTTGTCGCAAGGGAAAATAAATATGACGTTGCATTAGATATGGTAGAAAAAGGGAAGTGTTATTGGTGTGAAATAAATAAATAGAAAAATTCTTAAAATAGATTTAAGTACGTATTTTAGATCCCACTTTGGAATCCTAAATTTAGGTATGTAAAACGTAATCTTATACTAACATACTATAACGCAAAAATATAAAATAAATGAATATGTACATAACATCAAGCGTTACTTCCAACACTTCTATTCATATAGTTAATAATTATGCAATATAAATAAACCAGATGTATTTACATACGTATTTGAATTTTAAAAAATATTTCTAAAATAAATAAAATTTGAAAAGCAAATTAATATATTGTGTACTAACATACTTTATTATTAATAACATATGTTTTGCGTTTTGCTAAAAAAAATCCACAATAGACGAAATAATTAAAACAGTTACGTAGGTTTCTATATTTTATAACTGATTTTACTATTTTATCTTTATTATTAATTCCTAATTAATTTGAAAAATTTATAAACCATTTTTCTATAGAATTTCTATTAAATTCTCAATAAGATATTTTAACAAAATCTTTTTTATCAGTCATTATTATAATTAAAATTTTATTCGAGATAAAGAAAATTTGAAAAAAAAATCACTCTATTGAATTGAAGTGGGTATTTCACCTAAATTAATCAAATAACTCGAGATAATTAATGTTCTTCGATAGGTATCTTGTACAAGAATTATTGAATTGTTCATTTACATATTCACCGTATGGAATTTCAGCATAAGGTCGACTTTCAAAAGTCATGGTACTACATCTAAAGATCGACAAAAAAATATTATGCACATATTGAAATAAAGAAAACATTCCAAACATGAAGATCAATGCGATTTTATGAGCATAGCTGAAATAAAAGAACTTATGCCTCGAAATTTGAAAATTTCAAACTGTTAAAATAAATATTTAAAATAAATTTATTAGTTTTATTTTTAAATATGTTGTAACGTATGAGTAAACCGTTAAAAAATTTACATAATTTTCAATATTTTGTAATTGTTCTAATTCTCTTTAATAAAAATCTAATAAACAAACTGTGAGATAGAGCCTGATTAAGTAAAATATGCATAAGTATGTATAAAAGGATTTAGAATTCAATTTTATTGCTACTTATGTATATGTATGTATTAAAGGTACCTTAATTGTAACGATTTCAAAATCTAATGTAAATTTTTCATTTATAATTATTAAAAATATGCTTATGCAGGTCAAAGTGAGAAGTTAATTTAAATAATATTCAGTTACGGAGGTAATATAAATGAAATTTCATTGTTATGGGAATGTCCATCCAAACAATTTACTTGTCCTGTTCTTTTTTTTATTAATTTAAAATTTTATTGTTAAATTTTAATTTAATCGAGTTTAAAAATCAAAACTATAGAACCTGTTTTTGGCTTCTTGAATCTTCTCACAAAATAAAAGAAATCTGTAGGTAGTCTAAACATTTTTATTGTAACTTTCCGTTTTTGTGTTGATTTCTTTTTCATTGAGGACAAAATCTTTTGTGCTTAAGGGCCCGTGTTGAACTTTTGAAAGTTACTAAAAAGGAAAAAAAAAATAGGGTTCAGTAGAAGTGATGACCATTTTCACCTTTATAAGATAGTGGACAGTATACTTACATATGTATGTATATGTACATAAGGGTAATTCTGTGCGTCCATTAATGTATGTCCATTTATAAGGAGGTTCGTACATACATATTTATGTATGTATATGCATTATGCACATCCTTGCCTTATGTTCATATAAAAACTTATTAAATAGGAATGTCTTCAAATTATTTCAATATATCATACATTTGTATGTATGTACTTATAGTTTATACTTTGTTCTATATTTACGAAATATACAAACATTCATAATAAATAGGTAAGCCTATGTATGTATATACATACATAACTAGGTACATAATTTATATTTTATGATATTATAGACGTACCACCAATTTGATCGTTTCGGTGGTACATCTATTTTACGTCATTTATGTATGCAAAACTTACGATGGGGCGGTAGAAGTTACCACCTCTTTAATAAAATTAAGTAGATTCTTACTAAATTAGGTTGAATGAGTTTGAGTCTTGACATAACAAAAATATCATTATACCTGTCAGCCGTGGTTTTACTGAAAGTACATACATATATGCATGTAATCTACATACTATTATTTGAATTTGTGCAGAAAAAGGAAAGCTGTTTTCTAAATTCCACCCAAATTTAAATTAATTTCAAAAAATTATTGATTTTTTTAAGACCAATTCTGTCGATTTGTCGCTTTATTGGTAAAGAAATATTAAATGAAAAGTTCAATGATATGTTACGGTAACAATCAAAATTCGAAATAATTATTAAATAACCACAAAATTTATGCTTTTATTAATCATTGGATTAAATTAATCTTTCCCGTTAAAATATTCTAATAAGTTCTTTTTGTAGTTTTTGCAAATTTTGCAAATTTTTTTTTAAACTTATCAAATTTACTATGATTTAATTAACTTCATGAATGAGAAAGCAGGCTGACACAGTATATATCATAAATTCAGGTCATGTTTATCAGTAAATACGATTTAAAAGAACGGTATTATCTTCAAGAATTATATTTTAATGAAATTACTGTGTATAGATAAGAAGATAAGAATTGAAGTTAATTTTGTATGAAAGTGTGACGTATGTTAGTATAGTGATACTTGAGGTAGTCACACGCACCAAAAAAAAATTGTTGATAGTCGATGACCTTAAAATAAAAAGCAAAAAAAATATTAATTTCCCCAAACCCCACCAGGCGGTTTTTTCATCGTTGCTGTCAAATAGTTTTTACAGTAATTGAAGAACTAATTCTTAGTTAATTTACTTGAGAAATTTGAATAAAGTTTTGTAATTTAAAAAAAAAACGAATAAACTTTTATTATTTTATATTATTGATTATTGATAATTGGCGTATATTTATTGTGTTAAATTATTTAGAAAGCATTTAATATTGAAAATATTTGCTTTGGGTTTATTTAAAAAAATTTACAAGCTTCCATCCATACGTGAGTAGTAACATACATACATACATATGTACATTTATGTAAAATTTATAAATTCTTATTGCGGCTGTAGCTGGTTCAACAATAAAAATATGGCGTGTTTGCCATAAAATGATTCTTTGATTCTCGAAATAAGTCGAAATTACTGTTTTATAAACAGGTAGATATCTAAATACATATGTATATTCATTTTAAATTCTTTAACAAAAACAAATTAAAAAAATTGCACTTTTAGATAATAAAAATGAAATTTAGAATGGAAATAATGTCACTAGACTAAATCAATTGCCATGGGTTCTTAATTTCTCCAAAGTTATCTTGAATACAAAAGTGAAGTTAAAATCATCTTCAATTGCGCTTATTTTTTCCGCAATTCAGGTTCCGAAAATGTAAAACAGCGAAAATTATTGTACAAACCGCAAGATATGCCTACATACATATTTCGTAAGTACATATGTACTTATGAAAATCTACAACAGCCAATTATAAGAAAACATTGTAAGTAACTTAGTTTATATTTTCCATATTTAAATACATCAAAAGAGATCTACTGTACATGCATATGTATATGTGTGTATAATTGTTAAATTAAATATTTTTTTTTTAAATTTTAACATAAAGCTTACAGATAAGTACGCTAATTTAAAATGTCGACGAACATAATATTGTAATTCCCAGTTTTTTTCCCTAAATTTGTGCATATTGTTCAAAATAAAATGACACACGTTTAAAAATTCTTCAACATAAGTAAATCATTAATCATTTGGATGGTCAAGGTGGTCAATCATTTTAAATTTAGAATTTCCTTCCGAAATAATAAACTTTTGCAAAAATATTTACAAAACATTAGTGGTAAAAATTTGGTGTGGTCATTTTAATATTAGAGATCATGATTTCATCATTAATCTCAATTTTAAATGAATCTTGTCAAAGTCTCTCCTTTTCTAAATAATTAAGGTATAATCCAAGAAAGAGGGAAATGGATTCATAAATGAATACATAAAGAAATTTTACTTTTAACTTAACATCAATATTAATTTGTATAACTGACAAAATGATTCTTTAAGATTACCTTATATAAGCATATACTAGTTATACCTGCCGTTATTTACATAATTGCTAACTTTTTATATATTAATATTTTGTTTTAGATTGCGTCAATCTTGACCCGCATACCTTTTGAATAGGATAATAGAGAAAAAGGGGTTGATACCTATACAAATTTTGAAAAATTGTTTTTGTTTCTATTACTGATTTTTTTTACTTAGATTTTGTTAATTAAAAAAAAAGGATATCAAACAAAGCTATTCATGTACATATATGTATATGTTTTCGACAGAAATTTAAAACATGTACATGTTATATTTCTATTTAATTGTGATTTTCAAAATTTAAAAATTAATATGAAAAATGTTTTTTAGCGCAATGATGACTACAATGTGAGATTGAATAAGTCCAGGCGCAGAAATGAACATAGCCGTTAGTTTTTGTTGTATCAGACTCTAAAACCTTTTTTATAAAAGATGGCAGTACGGACTACAAGAAAGAAATGTTGAAACCTTCTGATTGCATGATCTTTAATTGGCAACATCAACCATAAGTTAAAATTGGTAAGTTTAAGAAAGTTGAAGCTTCCATAGAGCATAATTTGATATTCACATAATTTAGGGAATGATGTAACATCAAATTTAAATCTAGAAATTGTTATTTTATTAATTAACAATTATAAGGATTTCTTTCCTTTTGAAATTAAACTTTAAATACTAATTCCAATTTCGAAAGAGTTATTTTTTTTCGGTTATTTGTTCGAAAATTTAAAGAAACTTGAATAATTTAATTAAAGATATTTATTGTACTCAATTACAAACTATTAATCTCAGATTTTACCTTCCCAATAACTATTTTTTAACGTTTTTATTAAATTTATTATATATCAAAATTACATTTGAAAACCACTCATTCACTTAAAAGAGTTTCCCATATAATATGAAAACCTAAGAAATTAAAATTGCATTAAAAATAATGTTATGGTATGACCAAATGATCTTTATGAATTGAAATTTAAAAAACTTTTTTATATTTTTAGAATTGACCCTTAAGCAAATTTTAATAATATATTTTTTAAAAGGTCAAACAACTTGTTTTTTTTTTTAAATTA